CTTGTTCTTCTTCTTGTTCTTGTTCTTCTTCTTGTTCTTGTTCTTCTGCCTCCTCCTCCTCTTCCTCTTCCTCCTCCTCATCCTCTTCCTCCTCCTCCTCCTCCTCTTCCTCTTCTTCTTCTTCTTCTTCTTCTTCTTCTTCTTCTTCTTCTTCTTCTTCTTCTTCTTCTTCTTCCTCTTCCTCTTCTTCCTCTTCCTCCTCCTCCTGTTCCTCCTCCTCCTGTTCCTCCTCCTCCTCCTCTTCTTCTTCCTCTTCTTCTTCCTCTTCCTCTTCTTCTTCTTTTCTTCCTCCTCCTCCTTCTCCTCCTCTTGCTCCTCCTCTTCCTCCTTCTCCTCCTCTTCCTCCTCCTCCTCCTCCTTCTTCTTTCTTCTTTTTTTTCAGAACCAGGGATTCAACTCAGGCCCTTGCACTTGCAAAGGCAAGTGCTTGTTCTACTGAGCCATCTCCCCAGCCCTGTGACAGGCTTCCTGAGAATCTACATATCTGAAAGTATCCCAGCTAACCATCGTTACTGAATGTGTATATTCCACAATTAAGAATATTCATACATGTGACTATATTATCATAATTTTGAAGTTTTATATCATTTTGGGTGGTCATTTTTTTTTAAATTCCTATCGACTATTAACTTCTATTGGTTTCTACTTTTCATAGTAGATATTTCTCTGGATTCTGATGACCATTTACTGTACATTCATGTTTCAGCATCAAATATAAAAACCTGGACGCGCTGTCTGCATAGCTGGGCTGTTAACACGTGGGCTTCACAGGAGGCCTCAGAGCCCAAGACATAGCTTTTAGTTAGGAACACCCATGAATCTCCTACCTGCAGGTCTTCTTTCTTAAAATCATTCTTAGAAACAATTTCTTTCTAACTCTTTAGTATGATGCCCACTTTACTTTGATTTGAAGTATTTGTATACATTCTGTGTTTGCTTTTTCCTCCATTTCTTGCTCAAGAAACAAGTGTGTAAATTGAATTTTTTCCACCTTATATTTAATCGTATACTTATCACAAAAGAGGGAAGGAGGAAAGAAGGAAGAAAGGAAGGAAGAACGAAAGGAAGGACAGAGAGAGGAAGGAAGGAAGGATAAAAAGGCAGGGAGAGAAGGAAAAAGGCAGGGAGTAAGGCAGAAAACCCTTTTAAAGATCTGCTGGCAGAGCATGGCTGCTTGCCTAATACTATATGCAATGGGACTGAACATAAAATTTCTTCAAACCGAGATGCCTGTCTGACTGTTCAGACAGAAAACAAAATGCTGCACCATCCTGTGGTGTTGAGACATGTTTCAGTTTTGTTCTTGCTCATTGCAAATTTTATAACCTGTCCTGAATCTCATGTGTCTGCTGTATTATATTCTGGGAGTTACAGTTTCTGAGCACAAGAGAGATTAGAGAACTAGAGTGGAAATAGCACTCTGGCTGCTTCCAAAGGCAGCTGTGCGTGTGACCAGTGGATTATGCACAGTTCTCTGTCACTGTATTTGCACACCAAGGCCGCCCAGTTGGGGATGAAGGCCCTGTCATGGTCTACAGCCTCCAGTGGGTTATAATCCCCTCTCCTTCTGGGTATGCATCACCCGTTCCTGTTTTCAGTGTGATTGAAATGTTTGTCTTTTTTGTTTCTTTATACTTTGTTTCATGGCTAGAAATAAGGATTTGAAGCCACTTCAAATATTCCTGGTTCTATAAACATCCACAAATTGCAAATTTCTCTTTGTTCTAGTGTCTCAATTTGGCAAAGGGTGTATTAGTATATGCCTGAGTTCTACTGATTGACCAAGATAGTCTGAGTGGGAGATTGGCAGACAGTGGTCTCTTGTTTGCTCATAAATAATACAAAATTTTAAAGCAGAAGCCCCCAAAGAGCTAAATTTAATAATAATTATGGTAAATAATGAAGCTTGCATCTTGTATAATGCAATGGTTCTTCCTTCTGCAGAGCTTTTAATGCTATGATCTGAGTCAATATATCTAATTTCAAGCCATTTAAATCCTTTCTAAAAACAGAAATATCAAGGACTCAATCAATTAATTATACTTTAATTATTTCTTCTAGCTCTTTTTTCACCTCTGAAAAGCAGGCATCCTAAAACATTCACTTGGTTTTTTATAGAGCAGCAAAAAAATTTTTGCCAATTACCATAACTATGTAAGCAACTAGAGTTATTGTTTAATATTGACGAATCAATAATACTCTGTCTCATTTTTTAAAAAGTCAAATGAGTGAGAAAATGGAATGTTTAGAATCTATAACTAATTAGGAAAGAACCATTGTATTTATATTGAGATTGATTTTTTAAATTACTTTTCAAGATATTTTTAAATACTTGAAGTATTACATAAATTAAAGCATTAGAGATTAACATTTATGGTTTTTTCCCCAAATAGCAAAGATCCTGCTGCATTATTAAAAAGAACTGTCCCTCAATAAGCCCTGTGAACTATGGTCAAACTCACACACTGCATTCATACATTGGTCATGATATCCCCTTGCAAAGTGTGAAGCAGTCTTTCACCTGTCCTGACTGGGCACACAGGCATTCCTGCAATATTGTCATTTCAGTAACATGAACCAAAGGCCACAACATGCATGCAGGATAACATGCTGGCTTGTGATATTAGGATGGGTGCCTGCATTGTTAAGTAGTTTTAGCCCAGGGTGCCCTCAGATGGAAATCAGTCTGCGCTGGGAATATAACCTTTTAGGAAATGTTCTGTAGGACGAACTCCATATCTAAAGATTAAACTATTTCTCTAACAGATATTCAATGGCATTAGAAGTAACTCACCTCAACTGGAGAAACTGTGTAGTAGCGTAAATGGAAGCAATGCAATAAGATCTTCAGGAAACATGATGAAAATCGTGTATTTCACAGATGGATCCCGGCCATATGGAGGCTTCAGTGCTTCCTATACATCCAGTGAAGATGCAGGTAATGTAGGATGCTGTGAATGAAGTCATAGTCAAAATACCTCACAGATACCACTAACAACAGAAGAGCCTCCTATTCTCTTCTTAGTGATTGCTAAAATTATGTCCAGGATCCTCAGCATAAAACAAACACACACGTGCAAAAAGGAAGTCCAATCCTGACAAAAAGCATTTTGATTTCAGAAAGAAAAGTCCAGTTGCAAATTATAAACTTTAAAAAATGCTATTAAATGACCATCTAGCACAATTCCATTGCCATGGGGACTTGATTCATATCCATAGTCCTTGTCAATTCTTTTGTGTTGAAGACACGATCTACCTTTTAGAAAGTAACTTTGTCCTCAAGATGCTTTTTCCTATGTCTTAGTCACCCACCCATATACACCTTTCCAGTGAAAATAAATGGAGGGCTTTGCATTTGATAAAAAGTATTCAAGCAAGACATGGCTATGCTTATAAATGTTTTCTGCCCTTTAAATGGGTGCTGTCATGTAAAGGTTTTAAAACTTAAATGGAGTTGAAATGAATTTTGAACAAACTTCTTTAGGTTATCTCACTGGTAAAAGAGGCATGGATTGCCAGCTAAGCTCTGCAAATTCATTGGCAACCTATGTTATACTTTGACCAAATTAGATTTCTGAATGAATAAGTTGATCCAGAAATTGCCAGTTGCTAAGCAGAAGCCATTGGAACCGACCACCAATATACACAGTGATCCCCTAACTTCGATATTAGTATACAGTAAGCACAGATTTAATGGTACTGATTATCAGCCAAGTCTGAGCCATGACTGAGCTCTAAACTGGTAGGGAAATAAATGAACTTCACTTTGCCTCCCTCTTCTACATCAACGCCCAGAAATTTCTTCCATAGGCTACATAGACTACATGGACTTTTATCAACAGCCCTGGCTGGATCCAGAAAGACAAATCAATAGAGTTATAGTACCATTGTTATTTTAATTTTTCTTGCTGGATTATTGGTATCTCCTGTTATCACATTCATTTTACTATTAATTTCCCTGTTGCCGTTTGTTTTCTTAGTGTGTGGTGGGTCTCTTACAAATGCCCACGAGGGAAACTTTACTTCTCCTGGTTATAATGGAGTCAATAAGTACTTAAGAAACCTGAACTGTGAATGGACTCTCAGCAACCCAAATCAGGGGAATTCATCTATCTATATTAATTTTGTGGCTTTTGCCCTTGAAAGTCATCAAGACTGTCAATCTGATGTTCTTGAGTTTCGAGCAGGTAAGTTCTTTCAATGAATACATTCTCTCATTTATTAAATCTCTCAGTGTTCTTATGTTTGCTGTGATTGCTAATTTGATTATCAACTCAGTTGGCTTCAGTGACTCCTTGGGGTTGAGTAGAGTCCACTTAGGAAAGTCTCTGGATGTGTCATGGGGGTGGGAATTTGGAGACTATATATCCAGTCCCTGGTCTCTGGCTCTCTTTCTAGTCTCAGCTTCCTCTTCCCATGAAGTGAACTTCTTTGCTCTATTATTTCCTGCTACATTGCTTCTTGAAGCTTCTCCAGACTCCTCCTGCAAGTCAACATCAAAAGCTTTCTAAACTATTTGGTCAGGTAGGACCTGGGAAAAGTTTCAATATGCAATCTAGAGAAAGCCATGGGTGCTGTAATAAAAGAATAATGGAATGGTTCCAGTGAGAAAAGGCCAGCTGCTGAGACAAATAGAATAACGGCTGTCCTTAAGGCTTCAGTTGGGAATGAGGGCTGTGATAGGAAGGCCATTCCTGTTACATTTTGGAAAATAATCTGTCTACATTTTGTCCATGGCCTACAATGCTGTATGAACCTGTTTTAAGGCAGTAGAGTGGTTGATCTGGTAGAGCAAATTTCAAGGCAGCACAATGTCCCTTTTATGGCATGGGAATTGCTGACTGTCTCTGACCAGATTTATAGTGAGAACTAGGAACATCAAGCAGAACAGAAAGATTTGAAAAACATGGAGTTTGGCCAGAAAAGAAGAATATATAGGGGCTGGTGAGATGGCTCAGTGGTCTAAAGCACCTACTTAGAACGAGCTTAGCAAAACACAGGGACCGCGGTTCAATCCCCCAGCACCACATGCCAGCCTGCCCCACCTCCTGGTGGGCTGAGCTGGCCACACACAGACACACACACACACACACACACACACACACACACACAAATAAATAAAAATTTAAAAAAAAAAAAGAAGAATATATAATTTTGGGGCCAAGAGAAGGTGGCTCTTATATACATTAGCACCAGTGGAAAGAAAGCAAATATTTTGAACTGAGAGAAGAAGAGAGATGTCTGGACAGCATCTCAGGAATCAACAAGTCCTCACCCATCACAGGCTCAAGAGTACAAAAGAGTAAACCTTTCATTTGTACAGAGAACCCATGAGCCTCTACACATGGAGTGCCTCCTTGCGAGTTGCTTCTCTAGGATTTATTTCACCATGCTCAATCATCCAGCCACTGAAGCCTTTGTCCAGAGCTTGTCCAGAACAAAGCTCTCCTTCTTTAAGTGGCAAGTGTCAGGTAGTTTGTCCCACCAACCAAACCTAGCTAATACACTTGGGCAGCACAAAGAACCAAAGGAATCAATGGCCACTATACAGGTATGTAAGATTCAAAAGAAATGTGGGAACAATGCCTTCATTCCTTTTTTGCTCAACCAATGAAAAAATGCACTATTAGCACTAGCGATATGAATCTTTTTTTCAGCATCTGGGTTGCTTTATACATGTAAGTAAATAAAAGGGGAAAATAATGTTGCAGACAATCTGTACTATCAAAGATTTGCTGAATTCTATTCCATCCAAAAGAATTTAGAGAAGAGAAAATTGGAAGCAGCAAAAGTTATTCCTTCGGTGGGGATGTTCTTAGACCTTGACAGAAATCCTTGGTCGGAGAATGTGAGGCACAAACCAACGCCTTCAGCAAGAAAATCAACCTAGCTCTCTGAGGTTGATGAGTCTAGAAAGTCTTATGAGGGAAATGAAATTGGCAGTTTAATAATGTTCTCCATGAAAATCTGATAAACCTTCACTTCTTCTACCTGGCTCAAAACTATTAGCCTATAGAATCAAGCAAAATAGCTGTATGTAAAGTTTCCCTCAGTCAAATGCCATTTTCTCTTTATTCCTCCAGATTTAGAAACAGTTAAAATTCTATAATTCATTGATTTATAAGATCAATGATGTTCATCCGACAGAATAAATAGCAGAAAGATGTGAGCTATCGAGCTGCTCTATAAATGTTCATCAAATTTCTGTGAAAAGTAATCTTCATAAAACACATTCAGCTCAAATCTGACAGTTCTTGGCCTGAGTGCCGAATAGGCTTTTCATTTTCACTGAATGAATTCAGTGAGGAAATCCATAAAAGTTGAGGCAATTACCATCTTTATCCTGAGGACACATTTTATCGCCACTGATATTACATTTCTTACTCCCTAAAAAGGTATAATCCAAAGGATCTTTTAAATTAGTTGTATCTCTGTTTAGCCATGCTGAAGTAATTATGAAAACACAAACCGGAATGAATGAACACATATAGTAGAGATACCTCTATAACAAAACATCCTAGGTTGCTTGGTTGTTTAGAGATTTGGTTTATTCCGTAAGTGGAACCCTTTCTTTTGTAGTTAACAAAGATGGAGAAACTTTGTGACTCTGTGCAATACTTTTCATCATTTTTAAATGAGTTCCTTAAATGTAGTTTCCAAAAACTATGTAAGTAATAGAAGTTGGTGTATTATTTTTTCAGGTGATTCTGAAGGGCTCCTGTTAGGGAGATTTTGTGGCCCTGCACCACCTACGGTGCCACTGGTAATCCCTTATCCTCAGGTGTGGATACACTTTGTCACGAATGAACGTGAAGAATATACAGGATTCAAGGCAGAATATTTCTTTACAGGTAAGACTATGATTACAATCTCTTTCCTTGGATATAAAATCATAGTTAAACCTTTTATAATATTTTCTATAAAAATATTGTGGATATCTTATGACATTGCTTCTAGGTAGTAATTAGTTTCTTGGGTAATGTCAATGAAATTTTTCCAAATTACATTTTAGTGTTGACAGCTAGAAATATTATAATTTTATACATTTACCTTTATTGTATAGATCTTCTTACACTTGCTGGTTTGAATACTTTGTCTTTAATTGTTTTGTGGTTTTTCAATGTAAACAGTCATGTCTCCTGCAAATGAAAGTTCTTTTCCTTTTCAGCCCTAAAATACCTCATCTCTTTTCCTTGCCTTATTTCACTGTTAGGACTGATATTATAATATTAAGCAGAAAAGATGATGACCTCAATGTGAATGCCTGTGACATTTTATTGTTAAACAAATATATTGCTTGCTCTTAGATTTCAAATACCCTTTTTCCGATTAATGCAAATCCTTTTCATTTCTAGTGACAAAATTTTAAAAATAAGAATAGGTATAAGATTTATCAAACCTTTTCTCCATCTTTTGATATGTTCCTATCTTTCTTCTTTTCATATTTTAGAACTATTTTTCTCTTACTAAGCCATTCTTCCTCTGCCAGAGTAAGCTGTGCTTGGAAATGATGTAGACTTGGCTCTTTCTGCTGCATTGTATTTGCTAACTTTTAATATTGCTTTTGCAACTGTGACATTCAGAGTTTGTAACTGAAAATTGAGCCCAAGATGTATAGCCCTACTCCTCACTGACTCTCGTGGCTATTGGGGATTATTCCAGTTCCTTTCAATTAATCAGGCTTCAGATTCTCAGCTTTGTGTAAAGGCTCAGCTACAATCCTTCCTTTTCCAGAAGTCCAGGATCATGTCCTGTGTTTCCCCCCAGTCACCAGAGCCTCGGGTCCCAGCCCTAGGACACACATTTTGCCTCTTTATTTTCCCAGACTGCCACACTTTGTATTTGAGATTGCCCTTCCAAACTGTAGCACTTACTGCTGATAGAATTTTGGAGAGCCGCTTTTATTCCATTGAGCTTAACTATGAATCAAAATATGTTTTGCTTATAGTTTTATCCAACATTTCTTTGTGTTAGAACCAAATGAATGGTTGATGGCCAGAGGATGTTTTTATTTACTTAACTTTTTTCCAGATTTGTCAGACTGAAAGAAAAGAATTAGGCTTCAAGGAACAGTGTTACATGTTTTGAACATAAACTCATCCTAGCTTTATAAATATGTCATTTTTTCAACTTATCCTGTTCATGTATAATTTGATTGTTGAGTATGTTCTTAACATCAAATAACAAAATCTTTAATTATGGAACCAATAACTTCTTCAAATTTGTCTATATTTTCATTGGCCTAGGTTTTTTTCCCAAAAAAGGCAATGTTTTTACTTCATCTCTAGTGTATTTACTGTAAGTTTTACAATATGTCTATTTATAATAGATTGTCTTTCTCCCTGGTTTGTCCTTAATTGAGGCTATATTCATTTTGTGATTCTGTTACCATTATCTGAGATTCTTTTATTCACCTTATTACACTTAATTTTGCTTTTACTTTATTCATTCATTATGTTTTATCATAAAATAGGATGACTATAAACACATCATGTTTTGTGGGGTTTTCCCTCATGTCTTACTTAGACAGTTACAAATCTGATTTCAGATTGTGGTGGAATACAAACAGGAGAGGCTGGAGTGATCACCAGTCCCAACTACCCTCAGGCCTACAGCAGTCTAAGCCACTGCGCTTGGCTGGTGGAAGCCCCGGAAGGACACACCATCACTGTGAGTTCTTATGACTGGCTAAAATACTCTCAAGACTGTCCTGGAACCAGAGTCTGCTTAGGAAGCAAGTGACTTGAGCAGGCTTTGATTCTGCAATCAGATCATTGTTTCTCCCTAAAATTCTCCAGAAGGTATCTCACCTAATATCTGTAAGTCGATGATTATTGAAAAATACCGTACTTTCCACATTTAGGAGAACTTGTACATTAAAGATAAATTCATGCCTAGGAGAGAAGTGTACTCATGTTCTTGATCCAAGTTGGAATCTAGGCCAGGAGACGTCTGGAGTCTCCTGCATGATGCCACTACCTGGAGAAAAAGCCCCTCTCTAGATATTCAAGAAAGAGAATTCAATAAGGAAAGAGTCAAGAGGAGAAAAGAACTAAAGAAGAGACAGGAACACAAAATTATATTAGTGAACACAAAATAAAAAATATAAGGATTTTATCTTCCACAGGTAAACTTATTTACAGCTCAGAGTACCTCAGGATTTCTTTTTCTTTGGCAGCTTACATTCAGTTACTTTGACATTGAAACCCATGCATCCTGTGCCTGGGACTCCGTCACTATCAAGAATGGTGGCTCCCCTGAGTCACCCATCATGGGACAATACTGTGGAATTTCAAATCCCAGGACAATTCAGTCTGGCTCCAACCAGCTTACAGTGATTTTTAACTCAGACAGCTCAGTGCAAAATGGTGGATTTTATGCTACATGGAGCACTGAGACTTCAGGTAAAAAAAAAAGAGCTTCTGTGCACTTGTACTTTTTCAATGAGATTGTTTCTTACCTAATTTAAAATATAATTTCTTGGATTATGAAGGGAATTGATTCCCAAACTTCAGCAGACATGAAAATCTTCAGATGCTCAAATTCCTTGTATAAAATGGCATAGCATTTGCATATAACCTATACACACTCTCCCATGTGTATTAGATCATATCTTGGTTATTTATAATACGCAGTACCATGCAGATACTATATTGTTTAGTGAATAAAAGCAAGAAAAATACTTTGTACCTCTTCAGTGCATATGGATATTTTTTAAATATCTGTGATCTGCTGTTGGTTGAATCTCTAGACACAGAACTGTTAACAAGGAAGGCCAACCATATAGACATTTTGCACTTGCTCTGTTGAATTTAATGTTATTTACATATATCATTTCATGTAGCAATGGTAGAAAGATAACACAATATAATATTTGTCTCCTGTGTTTTGTATGGATGAAACTGGGGATTAAGTGCTTTGGTAATTTGCCTAAAATATATAGCTGATAAGTGATAATCAGGATTTCAATAAAAAGCAGATGAGCCTATAAATTTAGATATTAGCACTTCATGAAACAGGCTCCAAAGACAAAAAATTCATGGAGCAACCAGGGAATCTCAAGTAACAGGGACAGGTGTTAGACTCACAGCCATTTAAAATATTCAGAGCTTAGAGGCAGAATGCTTAGAGCAGTAAAGGCAGGAAAATAAATAGTCTGTATCATGAAGAGTTGCATTTTATATATTACCCCTTGAACAAGGGAGAGCTGTTGAGGTGTTCTGTGATTTACAACAAATACCATAGCACATGAGTACTGAGACCAATCTAACAGATTTGGGTAGTTTTGTGCCTATAAAATGCAAAACATTCAAAAATTCTTAAAATAGAAAAACTTTATCAATTAGTTTATTTAGAAGCTGGCCAAAGAGCTCAGCAGATTAAAGCACCTGCAAGCAGGCACAGGGGCCCGAGGTTCAATCTCCTGGCCTGCTGTGCTGGCCCTGCCCCCGGGGTGCACTGAGATGGCAATTGAATCTGGAAGTGGTGGCATGCACCTGTAATCCCAGCACTTGGGAGGCTACAAAACAGGAGGATCACTATGAGTCCAATCTACCCAGTGAGACCCAGTAAACCCTGTACACCCTGTCCTAAATACAAAAAAAAAAAAAAAAAAATGTCATTTAGGATTTTAGTAAATCCTAATTATTGCATTGGACAATTCTTTCTCATAGAGTAAACCTTATTATGGAGGTCTTCATAGAATTAGTTCAATCTTTGCTTGATCTTCTAGCTACTTTTATAGTCATGAAAGAGTTTTAAATGAAGAAATAGTTTTCAGGGAGGTAAATAAAAGCAAAAGATGCAGAGAGTTTCCTTTAACTTCATTTTGTGTCACATTCATATTTTCTTCGTCATTTTAAGAGTATGAAAACAATTCTTGATTTTTCTCTCTTTAAATCCTTGTTATTTATTTTCCATTCGTGATTTACCCATCAATCAATTTCAACACAGATGACTCAGGTCACTTAATGGAGGAAACTTTCCTCAATTCAAAATTACTTTTGCTAGTCCAGTATGTTAGAGTAAGATTAAAAACGAATAGAGTCATCTTCTCATGTGCTAGTGGTAATAAAGTACGAAACTTGCATTGCCTTGCTCTACAGACTGCACAAGCTCAAGGGGAGGAAGAAATACTGGTATTGTTGAAGACAATATAGAAGGCTGTCCTTTTTATGGTGAGGCCCTCAGGGTAGGTGTAACAAAACAGGAACAGCTGAAGTTTCCTCTTGATTCAATGTACTCTGTATTTATTGAGACTTCTTGCTGTGAACCTGCCCCAAAGATGAGTCATGTGTAAGGAATGATGACCTTAGAGCTCACATCTAGCAATGCTTCTGTCAGTCTCACATTTGCAGTATTATTTGTGTTGCAGAGCAATAACTTTTGCCATGAAAAATTTTCAGGTTGCGGTGGAACACTTCATTCAGAAAATGGTACAATCAGATCACCTCACTGGCCACAGAATTTCCCTGAAAATAGCAGATGCTCTTGGACAGTCATAACTCACCAAAGTAAATACTTGGAACTCAGCTTTGACAGCAACTTCCGAATCCCCAGTGGCGACGGACAGTGTCAGAATAGCTTTGTGAAGGTTAGTGCGCTTATTTATTTAACTGGAGCCAACCCAGCTTTGCAACTATAAACATTTAGGCTCCAAATGACTCAGTCATTTCTCAATGTAAGAAAAAGTCAATTCTGCTGCTTGCATTTCTTGGATGTAAAAATAAAAATCTTCCATGGATAGAAATTAAAATGTGAAGCGCAGTACATATGTGGCACTGCAGTTTTTTATTTGCTTATATCTAAAAATTGTAACTCAGTTGAAGACATTTTTCTTGGGTCCTATCAAATCTCATGAGCACTAGTAGTGCTTTCTTTCTGTGAAAACTAGAGAGAGAAAGCTTTGTTCCTTCTTTCTTGCTTCTTTATTTCCTTCTTTCCTTTCTTCTTTTTCTAATAGATTCTAAAGCACAAATGCCTTAACAATATGATGTACAATCACAGGCAAGCTTCATTTTGTTTTTTGTTTATGGAAAGTTTTATTAAACATAGGAAAAGAGGGCTGGCCAAATAGCTCAGTGGATTAAAGCACCTGCAAGCAGGCTCAGGGGCTGGAGGTTTGATCCCCAGGCCTGCTGTGCCAGCCCCGACCCTGGGATGCGCTGAGATGGCAATTGAGACTGGGCATGGTGACACACACCTGTAATACCAGCTCTTGGGAGGCTGTAAACAGGTGGATCACTACAAGTCCAATCTAGTAGTAAGACCCTGAACACCCTGTAGACCCTTCCTTAAAATACAATAAATAAATAAATAAATAAATAAAAATAAATAAACATAGGAAAAGAAGCAGGCTCTGCAGAGCAAGTTTGAGCCAAGTAAGAAAAGGGGTACATCCTTGAGTGTTAGGGCAGGCCGCCATGCAGGAGAACACAATGTCCTTACAGGCTGATTCTAACATATGCTGTAAAAAGTACCAAAAACTGCAGAAGGAGCTAATGCTATCCTCCTCTTGAGCTTTAAAATCCCATAAGCTGAAAAAACAAGTTACCCACATAAAAAAGAGTGAAATGTGGAGTCAGCAAGGCTGTCTTTCTCTAAAGCTATAGATCCTCCTCAGAGGGCGCTTTCTCTTTCAGTTGGCACAGCAGCGATGATAGCATTATAAGTTCATTTCCCTCATGCTCCTCAGCAGCTTCTATATCTCTGAGTGACTATGCTTTTTAGTGGGAAGAACATTGACCATAAGGTTATGGGAGCAAGCATTCTATTCGCTCTCCTAGTTAACATCTGCATGTTCTTTTATGAGCGAATTAAACATTTGAGTTCCCTATTATTCAACTGTAAAATGCATAAGATGATTCTTCCCTGAGTGTGGCTGTTTTAGGCATTAGAGGTAAGATGATGTCATAGCATAAGAGTGCTCGGCACTTGGAATATAAAACCATCTAGTGAGTGGAAATGGCTGTTTTGTTAATGTTATTATTTCATATCAGCTCTCAAATTAAGTTTTATATCTTATTGATCTATGCTTCCTGTTTAAATGAAAATCCAATGCTTATATAAAATATGCACATAATAAAACATTTGATATATACTTTTATGAATTGCTTTTTCTGTGAAATAAGTGAACTCTCCCCTCAGTAATGAGTTAATATCAAGTGTATAGATTGAAGTAAATCTATTCATTTCTTCAGTTATAAAAACTGAAGCTGAAAAATAACCTGGGCTCATTCCATTTCTAATAGAATACAGGATCTTCAAACCACACAAGCCCATGGTGCATGAGATCACTTGCAAACACGGCCAAAAATAAGTGCAAGTTTTCTTTTCCTCTCACTGGACCTGAGTATCTCCTTCTACCATGAGATATGAAAGTTGGTCAGCAAGCAGCCTCCTGTGGGAGCCTCTTTTTATCCCTGAGCCCAAGACTCTTTTATCCAGAGAATCCCAACAGAACAGACAAAGATGCAGGAAGCATGTTGCTTCCCAGGAACCAGGGATGCTCCTCCCCTATTCAGTGACATTGGGGTGGCCGCGAGTCATCAGTAGGGACCCCTCCTATGTTCTTCCCCTTCAACTAAAAATACATGGAGTCCCTACCAGGTGATGCATCCTCTGTCTCATCAGGAAGCACTAACAAGAGCTAGTAGAAACCCCAGTAGTACCATATAAACCAAGCAGCCTAAAATTTTACCACAAAAATTCTGGAAATTAAATAGCCATTGGAACAACATCCCCCAAAAGAATGAAAGATCACATACAAAGCATAAGCAGGATGATGCCATGCTGAAATAAAAAAAAAATAAATAGAATTCAGAGTCTCCAAACATAATAAAGTGTCCAGGATGCAATAAAAGATTCCTTTGTCATAAAAACAAACAGCATCATAGCTTAAGTGAGAAAAACACAATCAAGTGATGTCAATACGGAGATAACCCATGTGTTAGAATTACACAAAAAAGATGTTGAAGTACCTGTCATAAAAATGCTCCAACTATCACTGACAAGTTTTCTTGAACCAAATGAAAAGTATAAAATGTCAACAAAGAAATATTATTTACAATGAAAGACTAGGGAATTACAGAACTGAAAAATATAGCAGAAGTAAATAATTTGTTGGAGAAAATCAGATGAGAAAGAACAGAATGAATGAATGAACTAGGAAATATAATTTAACCTCTCTGAACAATCAAGATAAACCAGACTACAGAAATATAAGCAAAGCCTTAGGACCCAAGAACCTTAAGGGAAGTCCAACATTCATGTTATTACAGTCTCACAAGGAGAGAAGAGTTAGCAATTGAAAGAGTAGTCAAAGAAACAGAAAGTACTCAAAGAAATCTCAACCAAAAATTTTATTTCTGGAAAATTATCCTTCAGGATTAAGTTAAAAACAAAATATTATCATTTAAAGGGAAACTAAAAGAAATTATCCTAGGAGGCCACCATTATAGATTGTATAAAGGAGACTTTTCAAATATCATGAAGTGATACAAGAAAGGATCTGGGAATATCTTGAAAGAAGAAAGGAATGTATGAAGAGCAGAAATACATGTGAACAATAGAACTGGCTTTGTAATGTTATGAGTCACATTTGATAACTAGAACAAAAGATTATAGTACCCCCTGATGCTTAAGAAAATAAATAAATCAGTAAGGTAAAAGACCTAAATGGATCATAAACTTCCACACTTCACACAAAGTGGTCCATTGTCGATGCTTGCACACAGTTGTCATCACATATGGGTGTTGACACCCAGAACAATGACAACTACCAAAGGTTAACCCACAGCCACTACAGTTCAATCAAAATGGGATCTCCAGGAAGTTCAAACAAGACAAACAAGGGACAAGAAGCAGCAGGAGTAAATAAAAAGCAAATAATAAAACGGCAGATACAGCACATATATATATATATTATAT